GTGGTCCACTAACCTGCCAGACCACGACATATTTCCCCTGATAAATTGATAGTGGCTAATGCGGAATTCGAGCATATGCTCGGACTTTGTATTGTTCGCGCTTCCGAAAGTCAGTGGACATCTCCACTCCACTTGTTGCCAAAGAATGCTGGCTACTGGTGACCTTATGGAGCTTATCTGGCACTGAACTAGCGCACCTGCACATTCAGGATCTTAATAGTTGTTCGTGTGGTAAGTCCATAATTAGTAAAATCGACTTAACCAGAACCTATCCTCTGATTCTCGTTACAGAATACGGTATTCCTTAGATCACCGTCACCATAACTTTCTGTCTATTTGAAACCCTGTGGATTCTTTTTGTCTTAGAAACGCTGCACATGAAGTAAAACGCGGCTTTGATTTAGTGTATCCTTATGTGGAGGACATTGTGGCAGCTAGCATCCCAATTTAGAACACTAGTTATTACAACGCGCATGCGAACATGGAATTACAGAAAACCCCGTCAAGTGAGAGTTTGATAAACAGTCGGTTGATTTATTAGGTTATCGAATTTCTGGGTCCCTTGTCGAGATTCTTTTCGAAAATGTAGACACGATCAAAGACTTTTCTGAGTAGGCATCCAACAGGCAGCAAAAAGAGACAGTCAACATCTTGGAGGGCTTTCAGGAATTTTGAGTTATCAATCATTCCTCAAATGCTGAACGCCTACGTGAGGACTCACGTGGAAGATGCGATCCAGGCGTGGCGTCCCTGGCGCAAACGCGACGTGGATGCCCTTGAAGCTCCACAACGTAGAGCGACCAAACTCGTTAGAGGATTGTTTCATCTCTCCTACCAACGCAGACTGCAGTCTCTGAGATTGTACGGTGGTGAATATCGACGTCAGTGAGGAGACCTTATGATGGTTTACTTAATACCGACGAACCCAACTCACCCATATCGTAATCTGTTGCAGCTGAGCAAAAATACCAACCTGAGAGACCATCAATTAAAACTGGCTACGCATTACACTCGACTTGATTGTCGACGAAACATTTTCTCCCTTCGTGTCCTACGTGCTTGGAATGCCCTTCCGACTCACCTTATCCTTGCCCCTACATTTACGCTTTTCAAAAAACGCCTTGATGAAACGCTTTCAAACGTGCATTACTTGAGATAGTCCGTTCCACTCGGAGGAAGAAATAACGCAAACCTAACCATGTACTTAACAGCCCTCTCCGCAACGTGGCGGCGAGGATATATGCAGTAGTGTCCATGTAATTAGCCTGGATGTAGCTAAACTGTATTAACCTATCACATCTGTCAAATGAAGAAACAAACGAGTAAGCGTTGTCGTTTCCTTTTTTATTTCTCACGCACCTACTGAACTATAACAACTCTCTATATTATTTTGCGTGTGCACATCCCATTCCCGCTTCAAACTATCGTTATGCAGTAGTGCATTTAACCCGGTGGATGCTTGAAATAACAATTTACTTATTCGATGAGCCTTCAAATTTTAATTTTTACTTCAACCATCCTACGGGACTTGTCAAGCACATGCTTTTTGACCCGCGATAAATCATTGTTCATTGCCACTGTTAACTATTACTGCCGCTTCATCCCTATTTGCATGAACATAAAACAGCTTCTAAGTGATTGGCTGCGTGGCAGTCAGCGTAGTTTCATTTTCATCACTTCTGCTCGATCATTTTTCGAGGAAACTTAAAAACGTAGTTGAATACTGCTTTTTGTCGCATACATAGCTAAATGCTCTCCTTTCTATGGTAACAGATTCTTCAGACAAAGCAGTGAGAACAGTATTTCAACTCTTTGTCAATGGGTCTTGGCAATCAGTAAGTTACTTTTTGAAACTATACCATCCAGTCGAATCTCGTTACATCACTTTGGGAGAGAACTTCTCACAGTTTATCTAGCCATTCGCTACTTTCGACCTTCACTCGAGGATAGGGACTTCATAGCTTTCACTGACCATAAACCTTTAGTCTAATCCATAAGTCCATCATCTGGCAAGTACTCTCTTATAGATATACGCCACGTAGACTATCTCACATTTCATATCATATGCTCAAAAACTTGTTGCAGACGCCCTATCCTGAGTCAATTCAATTACATCTGGTCACAACATAGATCTAGCAACAATGACCGATGCACAACAGACCGATCCGTAGGTTGCTCAGCTGCCCACGTCCAGTTCCCACGGCATCTGACCAGTCCCTAGACCCGCCTGTGACGCTTCTTTTGCAAAGCAACTCGCAGCACGTATGCGTCGTTTTGCACCTTGCAACACCAGAAAGCCTTTTTACGCCGTAACTAAACTTGTACGCACATTCTCGTATGAGTTCAGACTTTCAAGCGATCCCCGGCTCCTCCACCTGAAGGACCATTCAGAGTACTGCAGCGAAAAGACAACGTATGTATCATCGATTACCACGGGAAACGTGAATCAATGCCTATCAGCTGCCTAAAAGTTGCCTATATCGACAGCGAAAATGGTTCTAGAAAGATGCCTGTTCTGACGAAAGCGACGCACAGTCCTAACAGTTCAGATACGTCCACTGATGTTCCTCCAACATCATCCAATCCACCGAAAACAAATTAATCCGGTCAACAGTTATTTGGCCTCGTCACTTTGTCCAGACAGTGCATCTTCCTCAGTGCATCTTCCTCATGATCCTTTTTTAAATAACAAAAATTGCAAACGTTTTGAGTCCTCAAAAAAGTGTAAAACTTCGAGAATCCGACACAAATATCGTACGGCTATTTTGGTTTAGCGCTTATTGCTGTAATGCACTATTGTCGCTACCGTTTTTCGGTTACTTTCCATGTACGGCTAATCAACTCGGTCGCACGTTCACGATGTAGCCGGAATTTTCAACTGGTGTACAGATCATTTCCAGTCGAACTGCTACCCGTCTACGAACTATTTTTCAACCCATTTTTCCGTTTTGACACGTTATGGAGGACATGAGTGGCAGCCTGCCATGATCCGTTCACGTTAGTGTTCTCAAGCAGCTGCATCGGGTGTTGTTCACTTTAGACTTTACGTGTCGATATGACGGCTTGGTCTCACAGGAAATTAGTTGGCGACTGATAGTGCTGACATATATTGAACAACAGTCTACACAGTTCATGCCACAGAAAAGCTGTGAAACAGTCTGGAGATTCCCCCGGTTTGTCTGAGCATGTTACGTGAAATACTAGATTGTTTTGGACGACCCAACTTGTACTGATACACACACACAGCGCCAAGGTTGGATTCAACACACGGCGCACTCGCGTGGTCCCACAGACCCATACTTAAATGTCTATGCTTCGTCTGATGTCATAATTATAGCCTATACACTAGTTATTCGTCTCCTCGTTTACATGCTTTGCCTTCAATTATTGGAAACGGTATTTGCCGACTGTCAGACGGATACTCCAAGTCTGTTAGCTTGATCAGATTGCTCAAACTACATTTGTGGCCCATAGGAGGATCTTTATCGCCGCTACATCCAGCCATTAAAACACTATGGCTCTGGATTCTTATCTTCTTATCTGCACCCTATATAATTATGAAAAAGCAAGACATTGCTGAATCTCCTCCACTTTTGCACTAATATGCGATGGTGCACACCTTTCCATCCTCACCCAAGATTGACTCTCAAAAGCTTGCTTGGCCTACCGTTTCTTTGAAGTGTGAATCGTTCATCGCAAAAATAACAAATGGAATCAAGTACTGCGAATTTTATAGCTGACTTACCCGTTTGAACTTTCACTGGGACGTCTTTTAGACCCCATACGGTTGTAGTCCAGGATAGCTGTGCACATTAAATTTCTCCAGGTCACTGATTTAAGGAATTTTGTGAAGTTAGTCGAGTATGCATACAGAGTTTCTAGATACTGTGTGAGCAGTATGCTGTAAATCGCTGTCGACAGAACATGGAACAACTGACGACGGATGATGTATTGTATGGTCTCGTCTACACATTTCATGACTCTGTTGACGTAGGCCGCTGTCCAGCCATAGATACTCTCTTCTCTGAGTACTCAGAATTGAACGCCGAACTATTTGTTTGGCGAAAGGCACAAAATCCTTCTTACTAACTATCGATCGTTTATTACAGGCTTCGAAGTACTTTTTCATATTTAATAACCCATTTTCCGAGAATTGTTCCCTTTTATACCCTCACATCTATCCCGTGAAGAAAATATGTAGTTAAATAACGTGCTATATTCAGTATTCATCGTTCCAGAAAACTGATAACTCATATCCTTGCTTCCTAAGACGACATCAAGAGGCGTTACTAAGCGGCTAGAGTACATGACCCTCAAATGAGGATTAAGGAAGCTAATTGTTTACTGTGCGTCTTGTCCGCTTTAATCAGTTGCACTGCAAGTCACAGTGTAATGGTCCAGATCAACCGGAGTAACCTGGTGACAGTTAAAAACACTTTTGAAGATAGCTGTCGAATGCATCCAGGAATCCTCGTTTTGACTTGTCGTTTATCTGAAAGTGCCGGAATTGCAACACTTTGACCTATCCTTAAATGTGCCTGTTAGTGATTCCAGGCTCATCCATGCTTTTAGTACCCTCGTTTCAGCCCTGGGGCCAGATGAGTCCACTAGATTTGAAAATTGCTTGATTGCATAAAGGAGATATCGTCCTGTATCATGTTTAAAGATTGCCAATAGGGAGAGGGGGCACTTCATTTGGACTTCGCAGTTGGTTTTCCGCACATTTCATAGATAAACGCCAAGATGCGTCTGTGATGTTTTCCTACCGATGACTTGACTTCAGCAAATATTTTAACCATCCCACTTTCCTAATCATTTTCCAACGCTAATTTGTTGAGACCAGATCCGAACCGATTACACTTTGATTGTCGGGGAAAATGAGATACACTTCTTTCATGCATGTCAGGACACATGAGGTAACGGAACGACGCCTGCGACCAATAGAATCTTGTGAAAATAATTCGACCTTGAGACTAATCTTGTCACAGCGCTGAATCATAATGTTCACTGGCCGTCACGGCAGTTGGAGCAACACAAGTTGGCTTAGGCAACATGGTACTTTTCTGTGGAACAGGTAGAAGTTGGACCTATACTTTATCCTACTTGTTGATAGTTAACTTCATTTGGATTTGATTGCGCTGTGAATCAGCCCGCCTCCATATTCTACTTGAACTGAATAACCATTCACTCCTTCTGGGAAAAGCTTCAGTTGTTTCTCTGCGTTTTACCAGCAATGGATAAGATGGAAGCACTTCCTAGCTCAGTTTTCTGCACTGCCGTCGGTAGAAATGGTCTTCGTTCAAACCTGAAAGTAGTTGTTGCTGGTGTGCATTAAACCAGGTTTGGGTGCAGTTTCCTCAAACATTTTCAGCGTGTAGATATTCCATCTTTAAATTAGCATACGTTCAAGTACGTGCTCTGGTTACACTCACCTTCTTTTTGTATGGGGCTAAAAAGTACACCCCTGCTTTAACTGAATATAAACCGGGCTGTCCAACATTACTGAATTACGCGGACTTTCTGCGTGGTCAATTCAGTCTCAAGGCTTTTCTGGGGTAAGTCCTATATGGAACATATCTACTTGATAATCCTCCCCTTCACTGTATTCTTGCGAAAAGGCCAATTGATATGACGTTGATTTCGTTGCATGGGACTGAGACTTTCGTGCATCAGCAAGAGAATTTATGTCTTGAATTCTAGTGAATCCAAGGCTGTCATGTGGGTGTTCATGGGTGTTGAAGTTATCTCCCTTATCGGAATCCACAGCATCCGACAACAGGTGTCCCAGGTTTAGGTGGCATTCGACGATTTCACACGAAACTGGGTTGGGTTCCGCCACCCGGTAGTGGTGCTCGATAGCAATGGGATGCCCATATAAAATGCTTCGAATAACACAGTCACCCTCAATTTTCATCCCGTGAATGGATCCAACTGGTATCAAGTGTTCGGAACTTGCCAAAAAATTCTTGTTCAGGTTAATCTACGGCGAAATAAAGAAGAGCAATATCAACATAGGGTTTACTGTTGGCATTTAACACAGGTACAATTTTACACAACAGAGTGCCGGAACCAGTGTCCTGAGCTCACGACAATCAAATCAACCCTTTTATTACATTTATGCCATTTGTACAGTTTTAATCATAAACGTCTGAACAACTTTCTACTATCACTGTTACAATTGCCATAAAACATCTGTATGGTTGCACTTATCTGATCATGCCTTCGTCAAAAACAAATATTTAATTTATACTTTATTTCACAGTATGACCACATTTCAAACGTCAAGTAAGCACGATGTGGTCTATAAAGCAGGCGTGTAAACGCGAGGACCCCTCAAGGTCCGCATGGGTCACCGTTACTGTCATGATGGCCACACAAACAACATGCATATATTCCTTAACGGCTTCTTTGTGCGTTTGCTCGATTCCCTGGTTATTCTCCTTTCAACGCAAGCAATCCACTTCGCCCTAGCACTTCGGAGATGCACCAACTTCATACTTTACTTCTCCACATTATCCTGTGCATTTTCTCCCGCGGACTTTACCTTGTGTATATTATTCATTATTTTTAGTGCTTTTAGTGGTCGCAATAGTAATGCTTAGTTTCAACATATACCTCGCATCACACTAGAAGCGCGATTCCACGGCAAGTTGCTGTGCCCTATCTTGCATGTACACAAACATCCAAGGCCTCCTAAGCAAGTTGGCCGAACATAGAGAACTCCATGCCACACAACCGCGGGACATTGTCGTGATTATAAAGACATGGTTAAAACCTGAGATAACCGATTCTGAGATCAATTTGCTCGGTATATCGCCGTTTCGGACGGATAGAACCGGAAGGGGTGGCGGTGTGATTATTTACTATAATACAAACCTCCGATGTGAAGTTATCGATCACCCGGAAATCCGAGCCATTGACTCGCTTTGGTGCCGCATATAGTTGCGAAACAAGGACACATGTCTACTAGCCGTGATTTACCGCACACCAAAATCAAAGTCGGAAATGGACTCCAAACTGAACCATGTTTTTCAATTTGCTTTGAACAAGTACTACACCCACATTCTTATCGCTGGAGACTTTAATGTGCACGTCATAGAACCGCCAGCAACCGACGGTACGCAGTTCAAAGCCTGCTTGCAAGAGCTAATCGCTAGCCACCCTCTTTACAACCACGTAACCTCTCCCATCAGATTTCGAACTGCTAACAAGCCGTCGATACTGGATCTTGTGCTAACTAACGAAGAACTCATGGTTGGCGCGATAGTTACAAGCACACCACTGGGTCGTAGTGATCATGTTACTCTACTCTTTGATTATATATGATATGCGGAGTACCCTGAAAAGGAGGAGGATAAAGTACATACTGTCAAGCATTACAATGTGTTATTTAAGCTTGTTAATGATGCATTTTGGACTTCCTTAATCGAATGCCCCCCAGATGTTGCCTGGGAAACATTTACAAGGACGTTTAGCACACTGGTTGCACACGCATCGGAAGAGAAGTCCTTCCAACCCAAAACAAGCATAAGTCATTTCTGAGGAGCAGAGCACGTAAATGTATGTCTCGGAGGGGTTTGGCATGGCGAGATCACCAGGACTGCCCGAATGCCGAAACCTGGACTGCATACGTGACACATCGTAACTTCTGTGTGAAACTGATCCGCGAAGACAAGGTCACTCATCAGCAGGAGGTAATGAAGCGATTCTGCACGAATCACAAACTCCTGTACAGGCACGTTAGCGGCCTTCGAAAGGTAAAGCAGGGGATTCCCGCACTAGTCACGGCTGATGGGTGCACACGATCAGCAATGGAAGCAGCTGGTCTCCTACGGCTTCATTACTCCCGAACTTTCCATGAGGTAACGAGCCCAAATATTCTCCTCATTTCTAATACTCCACCATCTGGTTTAGACAACATTCTCTTCACTGCGGAAGCTGCATTAAAAAGAAGTTGTTATCCTTACGTATCCACAGTTCTCCCGGAGCCGACAACATCCAACCAAAGGCTCTGTAGGCGCTAGCTAGTGATCTAACAGAACCACTGGCTGTTTTCTATCACAGATATCTAGAAGAGAACCGTATTCCACTAGTATGGAAGCGAGGGGTAATCACTCCTTTCCATAAAGGAATTAGCCGCACTGATCCTGCCAATTACCGTCCAAAAACCCTAATTCCTGTACTATCTAATGTGATGGAATCAATCAACGCAGATGCGCTGATGCAATACCTGGAAAGCCACAATTTAATAGCTCCAGAGCAACATGGCTTTCGTCAAAAGTATTCGTGTAATACCAACCTATTAATTGCACGTAATAGCTGGATTGAAGCTGTTGATGATGGAGTAGGAGTCGATGTCATCTTCCTGAACTTTTCAAAAGCGTTTGATAGCTTAGACCATCGAATCCTCCTTCAAAAGCTTCGGAATTACGGCATTCGCGAGGCAATCCTGAGTTGGAATAGCAATTTTCTACAACAACGACGGCTATTAGTGAGAGTCCGAGAATCATTGTCTGATGCAATCGGTGTGGCGTGTGGAGTACCACAAGGCTCGTTTCTTGGACCTCCCTATTCTTGGTGTTCACTAACGATTTGGCGAGATCAATTAATGCCGATTTCCTGGTTTTCGCTGATGATATCAAGATATGGCGAAGGCTCAGAGCACCGGATGACCATGAACGGCTCCAGTGCGATCTTAACACAGTGTCGAACTGGTCAGTTCAAAAGCCCTACCATTCAATGTAGACAAATGTCGCGTTGTATAATTACGCCATAGACATAACTACACATATTTACTTGGGACAAACTGATTGCAGACTAGCTCTCAGGAGCTTGAACTTGGTGTGCTCATATAGAGCGACCTCAACTGTTCAAAACAGGCTGAGGTAACTGCGAAAAGAGGCAACCAGCACGTCGGCTTACTGCGAAGGGCATTTGGGAGATTTGACCGATCAATCTTCCCCTTTTGATGCACAATTCCAACGTGCGCCCGCATGTTGAATACGCTATCCAAGCTTGACAATCTTGGTTGAAGCGCGACCTAGAAGCGATAGAGGCACCACAACGAAGAGCAACAAAGAATGTAAGGGGCCTGCGCTATCACTCTTATCACCGAAGGCTGACGTTGCTTGGAATTTTCAGCGGACGCTATCGAAGGCTGCGCGGGGATCTCATATTAGCATATCAGATACTGAGTGACCCCAACCACGTATGCCGCCATTTGCTGAAACTTAGCCACAACACGCAGCTCAGGGGTAACTGCTTAAAGTTGAAGGAACAATATAGCTGTCTAGAGTGTCGACGGAACTACATTTCCCTTCGGGTTTGCCAACCCTGGAACACACTCCCAGTCTCAGTTGTAGCCTCTCCTACACTGGACATTTGCAAAAAACGATTAGATGTTGCTCTTAGCTCCTAGCATTTTGGTATCTAAACTCCTCTATTGTGGATTACGCCAAGTATGCTTTTCAACAGGATTTATGTATCAAATGGAACCAAGTGAGCGATCATATTTTACTTTCCTCACCCCTTACATCAACGATCACTGCACCCCAGTGTCTTGCTGAACGTTTAAGCTCGAATTTTTAAATTTTACATTGATGTAATTTATCGAAGTATTCATCTCGGCAGACGTTCGGTAGATGACTCAGATATATTTTGCTTTCATCATATTCACCCCAACCATCCTACGGGACGTGTCAAGCACTTGCTTTTATCCCGTGCTAAATCATTGTTCATTGTTCACTGAGACAACTGTTTTCCCTTTATACATTTATTTTATACATTCTGGGGCTCTGTAAATCTTTAACATTTGGTTGTTGCAGATGTGCTGATGAGGTATCCGTCGCATGAATGGCTTACACCGGTGAAGCACTTTCTGTTACTCGGTCATCATTGTATGACCTATATGGCCCCCACGCGTTCCCTTGTCACTAATGCTTCAAAAGGAAGTAACATTTTCCATGCTTTTTCTTCGTGTTGTGTATTTGCCAGTTCTTATTAATACATCGCTTCCCCTGGTCGTTGGCGATCAAGCCATTCTTGGAGTTACCATAAACTGATTATATAAGTCTATGATATAATACTGAACAAGGCAAGTACTCTATGAGTTTTCTAATCACTATGGTTGGAATTAGACGCTCCTATACGTGTCCAGTCGGTTCCACAACAACAGCTGACACTTTCATCCATTAACCGATAACACGTCGAAGGTCGCCTCATCGCACCACAATTCTGTCCTATTGTAATTTCTTGGTAACTAATCGGCAATCATTTCTATTAAGTGCAACGGTTAGTCTAATGATAATTGCACACATTTTCGGTGACCTTTTCATAGCTTGCTGATGTGGTCCGATGCGTCAATTATGAGAGTGGAATGGTTCAAATTAAGGTTTACGTTTATTACACCCAGTTAAGTTGTGGTGATGTGACCAATAAATGCCCACATCGGATTTTGGGTAGAAGACAGTTGGACTGTAAACATACATGAGCACCACTATGGGTAGCAACAACTCACTTCGAATTGTTCGCGCCCGATGACAATGGTGCAGGTGAAGACTTCGCCCGATCGGAACCCGTAGCGTCTTACTGTCGTTCCATGCGATATTGTACTCACTTCAGGACTGCTAGCGGTCACATCCCAACATCCATTAATCTCCAGTCGAATTTCTAACGGCTGAGTTGGGACCATCGGGAGACAATTTTCCAAGTCACTATGCTGGGCGATTTGGACAGGATCGAACGCCAAGTAATCGGACAGCAGACTCAAGTAGAAACTGGGAATAGTGAGAAGGTTGTTGTGACATCTTTAGACGCTAGTAATAGGTTACAGTGCGGTTGAATAGGGGTACCAAAATCACCCTGTTTAACTACAAAGTGCATTGCCATCCCTATGCGGCAAGACTTGGCCACCAGATTTCAAGTTAGAAACTGCAATACAATGCATTAAAAAACAGCAGCAGCATTCGTTCAGAAAAAGTGCCTAACCGTACATCGTCGTACCCTGACCATTATCTGCTAAAAGACGGACAATCCTCACCGACCGTACATCATCGGTACATCAAAGCGGCCTTTGATTCAACTTCATCATTTGCCTTGTGCCGAGCGGTCGCAAAAAACTGTCCTCCTGCATTATTCGCCTCCAAATCTTTGGATTTATTCTCACAGAGACCTACGTGCCATCATTCGATTAGGCTCTACGAGCTCCTCCTACCACTGTTCAACTATTGGATCTATCATTCACGGATCACCAGCAAACTGTGCTCTTGCAACTTCGAAGTCAACCGTATTTGAACCCTATCGGAGGTTTTATTTTTCCTCTCGTCGGATAAGAACTCTTGTGGTCTTATTTTAAAGATCTTTTTGAGAGTCACCCGATCAGCTTATTACCATTCTTTCAAGTCGCTCTATAAAGTGATAATCGTCAATTTGATCCGCCCTTGGAACTGCTACTGTCGTCATTAGACAGTATTTTCCAAGTCACCTGGCTTTGTCTAAACCCTACGCCGCATCGCTGCCTATGCACTTACTGGTTGGATTGATAGAATGCACGTCGCCTATCTACCCTAAGGAAAGTGTGACTCAGCTAGCCGCGACACGCCTGGACCCGCTGACCTCAAACCAGCGCCAATCGCCACGCAACAGTGCGTCAGTATCTCCATCCTCTTTCTACCCCATAAAACAGCACCCCTTACTGAGAACATGTCTCGTATGAAGAGCAAATGCGAATTATGTGCTAAAGTGGTAAAAAGTGGTCTGATGTGTATCATGTGTTTGAAATCCTATCACACTACCTGCCTTGGGAAGCGGTCGACGAAAGCAAACACCGCAGAGGCGTTTTGGTTCTGCCAAGTATGCGAGTCTATTCCATTTGTTAGCTGTCTATCTGTGCTACTGAAGTGGTGTTAAAGATTAACCGAAGCGGTCGAGCAACTGGTGAGCGCCCGAGTTACACCCATGGAAGGAAACGGACCTGCACTTATGAGTGAAAATAACACCCCGAATTCCCTAGTCAGGACGAAAAAGAGAACCAGGCGTCCCAAACTAACCCCAACGACTCAGACTCCAGCAGTATCAACTCCATCCTCTCTCCCTCCTATAAGTAAAAACAGTGCCTGCAGCGCGCCTACCTCAACTTCTGTGCTGTGTGCTGCACCTAGTAGTCTGTTCGCTACACTCGAGACTGTAAGCTACAGTCAACCAGCCATAGTGAACAACCCGGCAACGTACGCATCGGTTGCCGCCAAGCAAACACCGGAAAGAGCACCGGTAACCTTTGTGCCCGGACTAGAGAAAACTAAAGTGTCGCAGCACGGATGGCACACACCAGTGCCGTTCACAAATTCACCAAAAACACCGGTTACTCACCCTCCAAATCCAAAACCATTAGCCACCAGGTGCAACCATGGTGCCATAAACATTGTAGGCACAAATGTCCCCGAATCCAAATCCAATACAATTAAGCGTAAGTTGACGGACGATCGAAATCAGTGGGGTTCCATCTGTACGTCGATCGGTGTCTATGCTAATCCCACGAAATTAAGAAGAATCTCGCGCCACCCAAACACGTTGCACTATGGCGAACCCCGCTTAGTTCGGGTAACACTAAACTCGACGGACGAAACTGAGGCCGTTCTGCTGTCTGCGAATCGTCTCCGCAACGACTCAAGTGGAGTGCGCAAACTACCCGAAATCCCGTGGAAAGATCGTTCAGAAGATCCCGCTAACAGAGAGAGGTACAGAAAAGTCAAGATAAGAAAACAGTGATTGCACACAGTGTTCCTGAGCTTACTGACTCCTCTTCCGACGATGCTCAGATGCACGACCGCGAGCAATGGCACTACATCCGGGAGGCTCTTTCTCTCGCAAATGTTGTGGTCACCTCGTTGACAAGGATCCCCATGTCACCAAACTATAAAGGGTGCGGTCCCAGGCTGTTAAATATTGTGTTACAGTCAGAACAAATGGCACAAACCATACTAGCGAACTGGATTAAATTCCGTAGCAGATTGCAAACGGAAATTCGTCTGAAAACAGCGGGACACCAGCACCTCTTAATGACCATTCAGTGGAGGCACAACTCTCAATGAAAACGCCAACTGCAGGACCCGACTCGGGGACGGTTTCAACAGTAGCCATAATATCCGGAGGGACACAGCAGAGCACGAGCAAACACCGGGATTCGGAGCATCTGATACCTGCTTATATATCAAATACTTCTCGAGAGTGTGCAACCCATCTAAAAAACGATTAGTCGCCGACCCTTTATTGGTCGGCGTAAACTCACTTGCTTCATCCATCCAACCTAACATACTTATGGTCTGCGCGAATCTCTCATGCGTGTACACAAATGCCCAAGGTGTCCTTAGCAAATTAGCTGAATGAAGACTTCGACACACGTCAGCAGCTTGGGACCTGATCGTTGTCATCGAAACGTGGTTGCGCTGCGAGATAACGAATGCTGAAATTGCACTAACAGGCATGTCCGTTGTCCGGAATGCTCGAGCCAGCAAAGGTGGTGGGGTAACCCTCTACTTTCGTAACAGCCTGCAATGCGAACCCGTAAACGTTTCGGAAACTGACGTACCTGAATTCATTTGGTGTAATTTCCGGCTGAGAGGGAACGATCTTGGCCTACTAGTTGTTGTTTACCGCCCACCATCCTCTACTCCTGAAATGGACTGCAATTTGATGGCTGCGTTGAGGCAAATGATAGACCGGAAGTACAGTCCCATTCTACTCACCGGTGACTTCAACTTACATGCTCTGAAATCCCAGGCCACACTAGGAGAGCAATTCAAATCAGATTTGCAAGATCTGGTTTCAAACTACCCTCTTTATGGCCACGTCAATACGCGCACCAGATTCAGGGGAACTGACAGCCCATCTATATTGGACCGAATATTCACCAATGAAGAATTAATGGTCGAGAGAGTAATAACCGATACTCCTTTGTGCCGAAGTGATCATGCGACGCTATTTTTTCATTACATGTGGTACGCGGATTATCCTAAAGAGCTTGCTGAGGAACATCGTGTCGTAACCAACAATGAAGACCTGTCCGACCTCATTGATGCAACAAGCTGGTCATACTTGGCCAAATTGATCCCTGGGGTGGTCTGCGGAGAAATTGTCAAGGTAGTTAACAAGCTCGTGGCAAGGACATCTGAAACCAAACTCTACCGGCCTAAAAGGATGAAGTCTTTCGTATGGAGCAGGACACGTAAGTGCATGGCATTAAGGGACTTGGCATGGCGCACCTACATAGCCTTCCCGAACGACCATACCTGGGATGTATACACAATACAAAGGAATCACTGTGTCAAAGTCGTCCGGGAGGATAAACTTAAGAACCAACAAGGTCTAGTGGAAAAGTATTGCTCCAATCCCAAACTGTTATACAGACACGCAATCAATTCGCGCCGTGTTAAGCGCGGTATTCCTGCTCTGCACACAACATGCGGGTTAGCCCAAACCGCAGAAGAGGCGGCCAACAATCTTGGACAACAATTTGGCCGTACTTTCCAAAGCGCGAAGTCATCGTACATCCTGCCTCAGTAGCTAACGCCGCCATCATGGTTTAATCACATATCGTTCACCTCCGTAGCTCTACTGAAGACGCTGATATCTCTGCGCGAGTTCAGCGCCCCAGGTGCGGACGGCTTTTGTCCGAAAGCATTGAAAGTTGCTGCCATGAGTTTGGCAGGACCATTAGCAATTTTATTCAACGATGTCTGAACGAGATGCACGTCCCCACAATGTGGAAGCACGGTATCATAATGTCAATCTACAAAAGTGGCAGTCGTGCTGAACCAACAAATTATCGCCCGATAACACTATTTCCTGTGATCTGCAAGGTTATGGAGTCCATTGTAGCTAAAGCTTTGATGTGGTACCTGAAAAACAACAAAATTGTCGTTCCGGAGCATCACGGATTTCGCCAAAATCGGTCATGTACCACTAATCTCTTGATTGCTCGTGCAAGCTGGACGGAATCTGTGGACACTTGTGTGGGAGTCGACGCGGCCTACCTGGGTGTCTCAAAGGCATTCGACCGTATAGACCATCGCATTCTCCTCCACAAACTCCAGAAATATGGAATCGGCGATCCTGTTCTAGGATGGATAGGAGACTCTCAGGTGCAACGTCACCTGAATGTGAGGGTTAGAAACAATCTATCAGATTCCATCGAAGTTCACTGCGGCGTACCTCAAGGCTCGGTACTTGGACCCCGCCTGTTCCTGGTCTTCATAAATGATCTCGCGAGCGTGCTATCTTCTAACTGCTTGCTATTTGCTGAGGATCTCAAGTTATGTTGTACTATAGCTGCAGCGAAGGATCACAGCGTTACAAGAGGACATTGACAAAGCGTACACATGGTACATCGAGAACATGCTGCATTTCAACGTCACTAGGTGCAAAGCTCTAATCAAACGGCACAAGAGTATGCACAACTACCGCCTAAGACCACAAATTCTACAGCGGGCTTCTCACGAGTGCGATCTCGGCGTGATAGTTCAAGATGACCTCGGTTGTTTGAGGCAGACTGAAAAGGCAACTAATAAAGCAAACCAGTACCTCGGCCTTCTTCGCAGAGCTTTCGGGAATTTTGATTCTTCAGTCTTTCTAAAAATGCTTAGTGCGTACGTGAGGCCGTGCGCGGAATACGCTATTCAAGCGTGGCAACCCTGGCTCAAGCACCATCTCACCGCGCTCGATATTGCACAACCTAGGGAACGAACTGCGTCAGAGCTTTGGACAGCCTCCCCTACCCACTCAGGCTGAAGACTCTCAAAATACACAGTGGACGTTATCGGCATATAAGGGGCGATCTCATAATGGTGTACCAGATCCTGAGAAGCCCCAACCACCCATGCCATTCACTTCGGATACTAAGTCAAAACACCCCGCTAAGAGGTTATCAGTTTAAGCTGGTCACACAGTAAAGTCGACTGGAATGTCGGCGGAACTTTATCTCCCTTCGATTGTCACAGCCGTGGAACGTCCTCCCGGAACATGTAATTAATGCTCCCACCCTATCCCTTTTCAAAATACGCCTTGACGATACCCTGTCACATTTACACTACGTGCTATAGCTCATGACCACCAGATGCTGGCACTAATGCACAACAGACAGTGGATAGTGCCACAACCCTACTGAAGAATGAGTCATTTCAAACACCTTGTACGAAATTTGATAAACGTTACTACGATAGAAACTGGATTCTGTATCCCGTCGACCCGAGTAAGCGTTGTCCTTGATGTTTTCTATTTTGTTCTCGCTTACTACATGATTAATAACCACTCCCCATTGCTCTGTGTGCGTACATTCGCATTTCAAACTCCCTTTATACGGCAGTGCAGTTACATCTGTAAGTGCCTAAGCTGACGACTCCATTATCCCTTCACTACCTTTTTTCACGCTAATCACCCTACGGTACATGTCAAGCACCTGCTTTTCAACCCGTTATAAATCACTGTTCATTGTTCGACGGAGTCGCCATGGGTAGCCCTCTGGGACCGGTCTTGGCAGATATCTTTCTCGGCTTGATCGAAAGGCAAGTCGCTGCCAGTATTGGTGAAGCAAGGTTATACAAAAGGTATGTGGATGACATTATGGTGTTCACCAACAGCGAACATTTTACTCGCCTGTTAACCACTTTAAATTCAATTCACCCCAACTTATCAGTCTCCCACGAGATGGAGCAACACGGCTCCCTGGCATTTTTGAATATCCTAATTAAGAGGCTGGACGGGGGTACATTGCAGCGCACCGTTTACCGCAAAGCAGCCTGGAGTGGGCAGTACCTTCACTTTTCCAGTTTTGTCTCGGTTGCATACAAACGCGGCCATGTGAAAACGCTGTTCTACAGGGCCAGACGTATTTGTAGTCCGGATACACTGGAAGCCGAAGAGAAGTTTCTGCATAGGACCTTGGTGGTAAATGGTTATCCTGAAAAGTTCATCCAAGTGCATAGCAGACTTCCCAAAAAGAAACTGCTGGTGCTAACAGCAGAGAAAAAAGCTGTTTATCTGTTCCTGCCCTTCAAGGGAGACCAGGTGGCAAACGACATCGGACACAAGCTCAGGTCCGCTCCAACGCGCACGTACACGACTGCACAGTTGCGTCTCATGCACACGACTCGAAAACTTGTTCTTCATGACCGTCAGAGCCACCCTTCGGCTAGTTTGCCCTCGCATGTGGTCTATCAGTTCACCTGCAGTTGCAGTGACGTTTACATAGGCAGGACTAACCGACGGTTGGCTCAGAGGGTGGCTGAACATTTGCCAAAGTAGGTAGGGAAAATGATGACGCAACAAAATGGAGCGCCTTCCAGAATGAACCGGATTCTGTCATCATCCATCACTAAGCACCGCGTGACAACTGGTCACAATGTGGACCCCCAAGATTGCGTTCAAAGTGCTATTAATTAACCGGAATCCGATAATGTTGGCAATCAGTGAAACGTTGCTAATCAGGGCTTATCAACCAGTGCTATGTGCACAGAAACTGTTGCGGCAATCAATCCGATTGCCTTGGACTTGATTCTGACGTTTTGATTGGTTTGCCAATTTTTTGCAATGTATATAATTGTGTATGTGTTTCTGCTTGTATTGTGTATGCGACTGACGAGAACAATCGAAATGCTAACATATGGCAATCTGTGCCTTCTTTCTGCATTGTTCAACTACCTGCATGCTTTATTTTGACTAGAAATTTTTGCTTGTCACCTTAAATTTTTCCCCAAGAATTCCCCAAAAATACGTCAAAATCAAAGTTTTCATCTGGCCTTGCAAATAATCGTTGCTAATTCAAAAACCAACTATTTTGATTGTTTTCATGTTAGGACACTCTGAGACGGCGATCAACGGGATGCATTGTAACACACCATGCTCCGTAAGGCTAATTTTGTACTTATTTTCTATCGTCCGAAATAGAAACAATGTGCTTGAAGATTCGAAATGTTATATCAGTTATGGCTGCTGTGATGGGAAGCTGTACCTCTAGTGGACAGTCCTGTTCTCTGCAACCTTCGAAACCGTGCATGGCATGGGATAATGAATCCCGCTACACAGTAGTTAGCTCGTAAGTCGAGGCGGTCTGTCTCCATCACCTTCATTACCTAGCGGTGTAAGCCGAAATCGCCGAGAGGCCTTGGGTTTTGTTCCTGATGCAGCTGATAGATAGACACCATGGATGTGTTCCACCCGATAGGAAGAGCCAGCCGTCTAAGGCTTTTCCGGATGTGTGGAGGACTTGGACGCTACTTCGAATAACCCTCAGTCGGTCATATGAGAAGCCCTTAAATACTGGTAATCACAAGTAACTGTATCTTAAGCGACGCAGTACTTAACAAAAGCTTCAGGTGCGGTGAAAATGGTTGAAATTCTACCATGTCACTTTCGCAATTTCTTCCCAGTTTACGATGACGACTGCTCCGTTCGTGTTCTGGGTACATTTACCTTCGAGCATTGGAAGTTGTTCACAGCATTCTTTATGTTATCAACATAGACTGACATGCATCGCACAGTTTAACACTTGACATTACGCTCTGACTGTCTGCCATGTAGCCATAGGTTAAAGGTATGGCAAAACTGTCGGCTTTCTCACTGAACTCGAACGGCACCACAAATTGCATCTGAACCATATAAACCATCGGACCGGCTGCGCGGTGCAAATCCAAGTACTTAGCCGAGTCTGATGATCCACTGTGGAACTTGTTGGTCCTACCAACTGTTCGGCATCGAGTTACCAAGGACGATAGGTTTGATTTGAGTCGATTACGTCCAGTGACAACGGACAATCAGAATGACAGGAAAGGAGAGTTTAATCCACTGCAATGCGGTTCAGTGCTACGAGCAAGTTTAACCTAACTTGATTCAGTTTACGGCTCAATGCGACGGGGAAATCAAACATCAAGCTGGTCTTTAGCTGCGTACTAATTACTGGGTACATTTAGTACAGGGCCTCTGTTGCTCACAGGACTGAAGGTTAGTCCTCAGGTAACATATGTTTTTGACCAGTGGCTTCTTGACTTCTTGTAAATCAATAATTAGATTTACCTTATCACATCGGTCGGAGACGTAGGCTATCCTCCACATTGGTTAACCATAATCTCATAGAAAGAATGCGGTACTATAAGATACAATACCGGGGTAAATTGTTTCTAATTTGCATCAGTGATCTACAATGGCTTCTGCAGTCGCAGTGGGCGCTGTTTACTCACGACCTGAATAAATAGAGTGTCACTGGTTCTCTCGGCAACTACAGCCTTCTTTAGCGAGACTGCAGCAGTATCTCCATGTGATGTGGAGCTGTCCGCTCAATGGTCAACCGAGCCAACTTGGTATTCATGAGTCTAAGGAATGGTGGTGACGAGTGAATCGGTATCCTCGGCCGCCAACCGATACATCTCACACCTTCCATGAAGGACATAGGCGTGCTCTCATTTTGCGATTTAAAGTCCGGGAATAACCCATAGTAGCTCTATTGAAACTAACTGTGCAGGTGTATGGCACTCAGAAGAACCATCCGCACTTGCTCTGAAGATGTTACCACCCGTTCCTTTTCCTCCAACAAAAGAACAACAGAAGAGCATAACTCGCCAGACTATTGCCTCATCACTCGAGGTGAGGTGCAGAAGGTCGAAGGTGTCAAACGCCTCGCTAACTGACTCATCCCCAGTTACGGTACTTATTGTATGAAGAATGGTGCGGATAACTAGAACCGTGCATTGTAATTTCACAGCGTGCGAGTCACTGTCATCATGGCTTATGTTGTTTTACATCTCGGTGACCAGGTGAGGAAAGTTGATCTTGTCTTCGTAGTCCAAAGAAAGGTCAAGATGCTGTTCGCAATCGTTCAGCTACCGGATGCCAGGCAACAGTTACTGTGTTGTCGTTCAGCACTTTTACGGTTTGGACAAATAGCAAAAGGTTACTAATGATAATTTCGGGATCAGTTGGTAGGCAGATGGTTTGTATGAAAGAAAATAAACTCAAAACGGTCTAGCCCAAAGATAAGAGCATACTTACAAATTCTTTCCAGCCTCCGCTTTGATCTCTAAGGTATCGCCATATTGCAGAACCGAAGGAAAATCCATATTTCACGTCATACTTTGAATTGATAATAGCATATCCTGGCTGTGTCTGGGTGACAGGAAATTCTTGTACTGAGCAAACTCAACCAAACTCCACCGAGGTGACGAAGGGTACCACCCAACGTCCGCTCGCACCAAAAGAGTCGGCACACATAAACTAACAAGTTAAGGAGCACACCACACACATCTCGGTTTCCGCGGTTACGTATGCAAGCGTGTTCACCGGAGTGTGTCTGTCCACTATTGTATGTCTAACCACCAATCGACCGGCATTAAAACAACGAACTGCAGATCGAAAGCTTGGTGCCAAGTTACTCGCTGGGCTTAGTGAGTTGACCGTTATCGGTTGACGGCGAGTGAGATATACAAAAGTGGACAATCGAAACATGGGATAGTACGGGCCAAGAGAAGCGGATGCTTAGCAAGTCCCGTAGGATGTGCAGAAAGAGAACCACAACATGGTGAATAGAAAACAAAGGGATAAAAGAAAATTCGTTCTGGTGGACTCACCACAGTGTTAACACAGACGCACGCAGAAAGAACCAACCACAGTTGTGTAGGTTAATTCTGGTTGCGCAACGTTCATCGCATTACATCGTCTGTCGAGACACACAGGCTATATCTCGTGGCGTGGGTGGGTTAGGGCAACATCAAAGCGTTGTTTAAACACAGGTAAAGTGGGGGCGGAAACAAGGTAATTTGGGAGGACGTTCCAAGGCTGACACACACGAAGAGAGCAAAAGTTCCGTCGACATTCTAGTCGACTGTATTACCTGGCTAACTTGAACTGGTGGTCCAGCAAATTCGTGTTGTGGGTCAGTTGTAATAGGTAACGGCAGACGTGGTTGGGGTTCCTTAGAAGCTGGTAGGGCATAATACGGTCACCAAGTAGGCACCGGTACCGGCCAGTGCATAATTTTAGAGTCCTCAGCCTAAGTTGATAAGGAGGATTGAACAATGCTTTGAAGTGCTTGGTGGCTCGTCGCTGTGAAGTCTCGAGCGCTGCAAGGTCTAGTTTGTGCCAGGGCTACCACACCTAGGTCTCATAATCCACATGAGGCCGCACGTAGATGTTAAACAACGGGGAACAGACAGAGGGATCAAACCGCCCAAATGCCCTCCGCAGCATGCCAAAGTGTTGGTTCCCGGTCTTTGACGCCTTCTCAGATTGTTTTGAGCAGCCCAGATCAGCATGAACAGGTACCCGAAGGTCGTGCTCCCGGGTGACTGCTTGCAGGACATGATCTGCAAATTTGTGTGTGATGTTCGGCTGTTGGCGAATGTGAACCACCTTACTCTTCTCCGAATTGAACTGGAACAGATTGTGAAGTAACCTCCCATACGCTCTGTCCAGGCCTCGCTGAAGTGCATGATGATCTGCTGGGTCGGCGATTGTCCGTCACGTCTTAACATCGTCAGCGAACAGCAAGAAATCTGAAGTAATCAAACGCATAAGTTGGTTAATGAACATGAGAAACCGACACGGTCCCAAAACTGATCCTTGTGGGACTCCACATTCGATATAAATCGGATCGGACAGCGCACTTCAAACTCTGACTTGCAGTTACCTATACTGCAGAAAATTCCTGATCCATCCAAGGACTGCATCACCAACTCCATAGCTTTCGAGCCTGTTAAGCAGAATGCGGTTGTCCAGTCGGTCGAAGGATTTGGAGACGCCTAGGTAAATGACGTCCGTCCCTCTACCTACATCGGCCGCTTCCGTCCAACTACTGCGTGCAAGCAGCAGGTTGTTCGTGCATAAACGGTGCTGGTGTAAACCGTGTTGCCCGGGTGCAATGATGTTGCGGCTTTCTAGATGGTCTAATCAAGGCAGCGATGATTGCCTCCCTCACGTTTGAGAGCACAGGGAATAGGACCACTGGGCGATAGTTGGCGGGTTCCGAGGGATTACCGCTTTTGAAAATGAGAGTGATTACTCCATGTTTCCACATGATGGGCACAATCTGTTTATCCAAGCACGTTTGGAAGCAAAGCGATAATGGCTTGTCCAGTGTTGTTGCTGTTATGTTCAGTTCCCTTAGGTGAATATAGTCAATTCCGGGAGAGCTGTAGGTGCGTCGTAAGAGAAGCTTCCTCAACACAGCTGTGGCAGTAAGATCAGTTAGTGTGTGTTGAAGTTGGGGATGGGGATGTGGGTATATAACACTGGCGGACGTCTTTTGGAAGGTTGGGGTATACTGCATCGTAGAGCGTTGGCTGCCTCTTCTGCACTGTGTACCACTCCGACTGGCTTGTTGACTGGGGGGATACCGAGCTTCAGTTTCTGGATGGTGTCAACATGCCAAGCATGTTGAGCATTTTGTTGTTGGAAAATTTGCGCGCCAAATGTTGTTGGTGAGTCAATTTGTCTTCACGAACAAGCATGCTACAGTGGTTGCGCTGGGTCACCTAATCGCTCCAGGTTTCGGGATAAGGACGAGTTCTGTAAGTGTGCAAAGCTGCATTCCTTATTGACATGCGCCTGCGACTTCTACTTCTGGTGAAAGACGAGGGATTGGGGGAGCGAATCCACTTTATTTCCGAAGCAGTTGCGATTAGATTGCTGAAGCATCCAACAAACTGAATCCAGACGCTATCAGGTGAGGCACCTTTCAAAAACTCCCAATTGGTCGTTTCAACTAGGTTGTTCAAGATGTTGTAATATGTGGTAGTACATGTTAGCCCTGTGTGTTCCTCAGGATATTTAGCGGAACACACAGTCAGAAAGTATGGTGACATGATCGTTTAACCCCATTGGGGTGTCTATAAATAGCCTGTCGATCATGAGTACCCCATTTGCAAGTAAGAAGTCAAGTACCGCTGATTTGCTATCAGCTCTGTG